AAACAATCGTTATGTTCAAAGCAAGAAAAACGAGACATATATAGATTAAAAACAATACAACATTTATATACAATTGGTCATTTACAATCTGGAATAAAATCTGTGTGAATTGTCTTGCGTAAGTTTGTATGTGTATGTTTGAAATAATGAATGTCTCTTGTTTCGTAATGTTCGTTAATTTCTTGTTTGTGTCGAAGATTGTGATAGTGAAATTTAAAGGTTCTGAAAAAGAGTTTGTTCGAAGTAGTCTACCCTTAATCGTATTTGTATTCCTTATCTTAGTAATGAATATAATTCATTATATATAAGGAACTAAGTAAAAAGGTTCAAGAATCGTTCGTCGAATGTTCAGAGTGAGTCAGTGAATGTTCTTTGAAAGCGCGGCAAAATTATGGTTCGAAACGTCGTGGGTATTTTAGCAATTACTCGGTGAGTTAGCGAGACTGACTGAATGAAGTTGGTAATTTTCTTTAACGTCTGGTCAGCGATGACTAAGACGGGAGTCGGTGAAATGTTACATCTTGAAAGTTGGTAATTATGATTCGAAACGTCGTGGAGTATTTTAGCAATTACTCGGTGAGTTAGCGAGACTGACTGAATGGGGCTGTCTGCTTTTCCTTTTATATTATTTGAGTTTCCAAAAGTGGCTCAACTCGTTTTGGCGCAATTTCTGTTTCTGTAAACGATTGACCAATGGAGTTGCTTGCTTCGATTTTCGCCATTTCTATTGGTTGAGGTTTTTAGTACGTAGGCGTACGATTTTGGACTCTGCTTTTGTTAGGTTGGAAAGGTAAGGATAATGGATGAGTCCACAGAATCGTTTAGGCACAAATTTTTCCGATAACGTTTCCGATACCCCCAAAAGTTCCGATTTTTCCGATTCTCGATTCCGATTCCGATTAATCATCCCAACACTAGTAGATATATTCAAAATTAAATCGCTAACTTAATGGAAAATTGTATCTCAGCGAATTGATACACAGGCAAGACTGAAATTGTTGCACTTTTGGCTTCGTATTTCGCTTTGTTGTTATTAATGATGCAGAGTTAAACACCATATCAGCCGATAAAATGTTACAACAATGTCTCTTGTAGAGTGTAGCAACTGAAACACATGAAAGCTGAAAACATTGCTATTTTTCCTACTCACAAATTTCCCGACAATTTATTAGAAAATTTCTGACGGGAGGACAAACCTGGGGGGGGTCATTAATCATTTGGGGGGGTCATATGACCGCCTGCGAAACCCTGTGTCTCCACCACTGTTTTCAGACTAATTTTGGTTGAAAAATTTTGTTGGGGGTGACATTGTGTCACCCCCTCCTGTGCTGGCACCCGGGGCGGTCCGCCCCCCTCGTAATACACCACTGACCTATGCACCTGTAAAAATTGCTGTAATGCAGCATCTGTGGATGCATCGATAGCTTTTTAGAGCCCTTTTGAAGGTATCCACAAAACGCTCTGGCAAGGGGCAATTGTGCTGTACCACAAACATTTTGAAAAATTCCTTAAATTCTTTCGATGTAAATTGAGTGGCGTTATCCGACACAATCGAATCTGGTACTCCGAACCTCGCGAGCAATTGGTGTAGAAACTGAATTACTAATTGTGTGGTTGACTTGTTACATCTGAATATCTCTGGCCACTTTGAAAAACTCTCTACGACAATTAGATAATATGTTCCATTAAGTGGACCAGCAAAATCAACATGCAGACGTGTTAGTTTCTAGCCATTGGTTGAACTTAATTGGTGGTGCTTTTAGCTGCCAACGCACAACCTTTGCATGACTTCAGACATTCAATGTCTTTATCCATGCTACGCCAGTTTACGTAACTTGTCATTAAGCTTTTCATTCTGGATATACTAGGATGTACTGCATGAAATTCTTTCAGGATTCTCTTTTGTAGTGCCAAAGGTACCACTACTCTTTCGCTGTGCATGAGAACGTCATCGCACATTGAATATATTCCCGAGTCTGCTTTAGTCCTGTCTTTAAGTGTTTTCTTCATCTCAGTAATCAATTTGTTTTCCAACGCTTTACTCTTTATACCTTCCAACATCACAGGTAGTTCCCGCGCAGTATTGCATAGTACGTTTTTTATCTCTACTTCCGATTGTAGAGAAACCATGACCGTGTCTTCTAAAGGTTCATTATTCCTTGGAATAAGTCTGGACAACCCATCCGCATGACTTAATTTACACGATGGCAAGAATTCCATTTTAAAGTCGTAATTTAGTAAAATGGTTCCCCATCGTTGTAACTAGCCGTATGAGTCGGTAGTCCTTTTTTGGATCCATAAATCGCTATCAACGGTTTGTGATCTGTTTGTAGAGTAAACCTCCCGTGAATGAATCTATGACATTTTTTCAAAGCAAAGACAAACCCTAAACTTCCCTTTTCAATCACGGAGTAATTTTTCTCAGCTGGAAGAAGCGTCCTGGATACGTGTGCAATCGGTTTAATCGAACCGTCTTCTGCATAATACCGTACGAACTAGCGTCATTTGCTACGATATATCTTCTTTTTGGACCGTCGTGTGTCAAGTCTGATATTTTTTTTTAATTTTCTCAATTTATAATAACTTGCTAACTCCAAGAAACTTTGTAGGGTACTGACATTTACAGGAGCAAACATGTCCTTTATAGCACTGGCGCGTGCTGGATATGGTTTCCTGCCGTTCTAATTATCTGACTTAAATATTTAATTTTGTCCAGAAAGAATTCATACTTCAGTTTGAATACATAGTCCTGAATTCTTCTGAAAACTTCGAAAATATTTTTCTTGTGTTCTTCTGGATTTTCACTTTTCAAGAAAATATCGTGAAGAGACGCAACTGCAAAGTCCAGTCCACTCAGCATTGTGTCCATTACTTGCTAAAAAATCGCTGGAGTGACCTTTATGCCGAAAGGCAAACGATTAAATTTGTACTTCCTATGATGTGTATTTATGGTCAGTAATCTTGGAATCTGAAGATATGCGTCACTTAGGTTGATTATAGAAAATATCCGATTCCCACTAAGCTGCGCAAAAGACTCTTCCGGCACCGGAAGTGGGTAATGATAACTTTTGAGGGCATCGTTTAAGCCCGTGGAAAAATCTGCACAGACACGTATCTCTTTCGTATAAATGGTTGGCGAAGCCCAATCACTATATTCCACTTTGGATAAAACACCCATTTTTCGAGTCTATCAAGCTCGTCATTAATTTGTTTTAGCGAAGCAAATGGTACATTTCTTTTATTTTTAAAAACTAGTTTTACGTTTTATTTTAGATCGAATTTAGCTTTCATTTCCTTGCACCTGCCTAAACACACCAGATAATACGTCTGGGAATTTAGCTTTTAATTCTTCTTTTAGACTTTCTGCTTCGTTAGTAAAACCTTTCACTTTTTGGCAAAACGTATTGATCGGACTGTTCCATAAATTGAACTGTTCCATCCAATCTGTTCCAAATAGGTTATTCGTATTTTTCATTACAAAAAGTCTTAACTTTAAGGTTTTATCTTTTTACGTTACGAATTTTATTTGCTGTTCTGTAACACTCCGAGCGAGGGGTATGATCACGATGTTGAAAAAGGGCTAGGGTGTTGGACGAGATTTAGGTGAGTCTAGGCCAATAACAGAATTAAAGATTTTGGTCAAGATTCTGACGGAGCGTTTGTAGTCAGTTGCCGAAAATCTGTTGGGACCGGAACAGACTTGTTCTGTGAAGGGCCGAACAATTCAGAGCAACCTGCATCTGATCCACACGATCATAGAGAGTGTAAAAGACGACGATGAGGCCGCGATGATCAATTTGGATCAGTCGAAGTCATTTGATAGGGTTGACCATCGCTACCTTGCTACTGTCCTGCAGGCCGCTGGATTGGAACCCAACTTCTGCCACTGGATTAGCCTGCTGTATTGCTCACCCAGTGCTGTGGTACAGGTGAACGGGAAGCTGTCGGGCGCTTTTGCGCTATCTCGGTCGGTTTGTCAGGGTTGTCCACTGTCGCCCCTTTGGCCTTGGAGCCTCTCCTTCGCCAGCTTAGGGACAGGACGTGCAGTCCGGCCCTACGCGGTATCGCTGTCTCTAGTAGGGCTCGTGCCAGGGTTTCCGCATACGCTGATGAGGTATCTATTTTCGTGTCGTCCCGCAGCGACATTGAGATGGTACTGAAGGCGCTTGAACGGTACGAAAAGGTGACAGGGGCCAAGATTAACCGCGATAAGTCTTTCGGTTTGCGGTTAGGTGCCTGGAAGGGGGTCGATCTTCCGGGGCCCTTTAGCTGGACAGACAGTCCTGTCCACATTCTCAGAGTGTGGTTTGGACCCGACCTGCAGCTGCAGAAAAATTGATCAGAAGTACAGACAAAGGTCGACACGGCCGGACAGACTTAGCGTCGACGGAGGTTGTCCGTGAAGGGCAGGGCGGAGGCGTGTGTCACTTACGTCTTCCCGACTGTCCTTTACCGCTTGTCTGTACTTCCCCTCTGTAAGCGACATAAGAAGGCGCTCGAGCGCTTGCTATCCACCGGGGGGACGCAGGCATAAAGTCGACAGAGGTGTCTGTGCACAACGACCGTGTCATGGGGTGCTGCGAATGTTGCACTTGATGAATCACAAACTCGCTTCGAGGTTGGCTTTCCTACGACAATCATTGACAGGAAATTCGATTGTAAGGGACTCCTTCCCTTTCCTTACTATCATTCCTCCCATCTCGCGGCTTGAGCGCCGTAGTAAACCCCGGGATCAATGGGTCGATCGGCCTTCTGGGCCATTCCTCGGTCCAGTGACCCTTCTTGGCCAAGGAGAGTCTTCTATCGAAGGATAGTGGAGTGGGGGAGCGAAGGATCTTTCATTCTCTTGTAACCCCTTGTGTACTAGTTTCATTCCTACCTAGTTGGGGTGAAATGATTAAAAAAATTATTCCTATGTTTTGAAAAAAAGAGTTTGGTTTATTTCAGTTATTTATCTTTTCTCTTTTCACAGTCACATTGTGGTGCTGAACAGAGGATCAATGTGGAGTCCTAGATATTTAAATCCAACTCTTTCCAAAGAAGAATTAGCCCAAGAACTGGATGAAATAGATGCAAGAAAATATCAACCAATTAAGGCTGCTCAAAATAATCAGACCACATCTATATTCTATAATCCTACAATTGTGTGAGTGTAATCTTCATCCAACCATAAACATTAATTTCTAAGAATACAGTTGCCATACTAAAGTACAACCTAGAGGCTATTTATAATCTCAGATCTATGTAAGTTTTTCTTTTGTTTGTTATAGATAAAATACTATAATTCTATGTTAAATGTAAAAAAAGATAGTTCTTTTTTTGTTCAACAGTGCTGGATGGTTTTAATATTTTTCATCCCTCTGCTTACTTTGCTCCTTATTGTCAGTGAATAAAATTTTCAGCTGTATTTTAAAAACATACTATAATTACATTTAACATGTAAAAGTAATATTCTTCATTTATAGTAGAAGCAACTAATAGCTGAAGAAAAGACAAGTGAACATATATGAACTGTTCCTATTTGAACAGTGCTGATATCTACATTGATTCACATTATCATTCAATAATTGTTCTGTCAGTGTAAGAAAATATATATTGATATATTTGAAAATCATATTTCTATCTATGGCATTTGTTCATGAAGCTTATCAGTACAAATTATCATATTATAATAGCAGATATCGTGTTTATGGATTTTGAAAAGGTGTATAGCTAGGCATTCATAGAGCCAGGATAATGACAATTTGTCATTTGAAAAGATGTAGATTTGAATGCTAACAGTAACTTGAACTATATATAAATGTATAAAAAATTCTTGCATGATTATAGTTTTTGATAAAGAATTTATTGATGAAGCAAAATATATCTGTATTTAACTTTTAATTAATTTATGATTTATTCATTTATTCCAGAAAATTTACAAACATGATTATGAAGGATGGAAAAAAGCAAGTAGCTGTCTCAATTGTTGATAAGGTAATATTTGTAGGGTGGGAAACATTACTTTTATAAAACTATCAAGAGCACATCAGGGGCAATTTGAATATTTTGGAGGTGCAATTTGGAATTTGGTGAGAAGAGCAAAAACGTTTTGTGGCTGAGTATTGGCTTGTGTTATTGCTTTAATTGATTAATTCTAGAAATCTTGTACTTTTTAAAAAAGAAGTAAACAAATACTAATTTAGTAAATATTTTCAAATATTTGCTAAATTTTCATGATTTTACAATTGACCAATTATGAAAGTTTTGATTATAATAAACGTTGTTTAAAAGTTCTACTAAGTATCTAGTTTGTTCACATAACAGATTATGTTTTCAGATATTTTAGTATGAAATTTCAGCAGGTTTGTCAGGGCTGTATTTTTTTCATTAGGAACTAGAAGGAATTTTATAGCTTATATTTTCATTTATATCTATATTCATTTTTATCTTCTATCCTTTATTTATTTTTTCATCTTTTATTAATGCATTTTTTGCATATATGCTAATTAGGAAAGTTCACATCATTTAAGTAATTTTTTTGTCTTTGTTTCAGATGCTAGCAAACATTAAGACTGTTCAGATTTTAAAATACCATTCAGCCTCCGATATAGAGAAAGCTGGAATTGTATTAAATCCTGTAACAATTTTTCATGAAGCTCTTGAAAACTGTAAACCAGTTTTGACTTTGACCAAAGTTTACAAAGGTGGTGTGCGATACAATGTAAGTATTTCTGCTTTAATTCTACTTTGCAATGAACAAATAGATTAGTTTCTAGATTCAGAAAATTTTTTTTATTGCAACTGCTGGCATAAAATCAATAAATTAAGAAATTAGATATAAAGATATTCCATAATAATATTTTAGAAAGTATGCAAAACTGCACTGATTTAGAGCTTGAAAACATGTCAAAACAGTGAAATTCCTTCTATTTCAAATGCTGATATCATAAATATTTCGAGGCTATTTTTATAAACAAAATTTAATCTTTTCTCTGTCTAAAATTACAATTCTTTCTCATCTGTGATGATTAGTTTTTATTTCACGTCTATTTAAATTCCGTCATTATATGCTGGTGCTTTTTCGCGAGTTTTTGAAGTTGACAATTTATTAATTGTAATTTTTAAACTTGTTACACTCTGAGTTGTCTCCCATCTTAAAAAAATAAGTTCACTTTAAAACATTTGAAAATCCCTAAAATTATTGAAAATCGATTTGGTTTTGATCGATAAATACTGATTTTAACAAGTTTCAACAGGTTATACAAAGTTATATTCAAAATTTTGTTTTTTTTTTTTTTGTTCCACGTATCATGCCACTCCGGATGTCTCAGTTATTACCCTTTAACCCAACTCTCCAAGTTTTTGTACACTTCTGCTGTGGCCTGGTATTGAACTCTCAACTCTTTGGATCTAGTCACTGGATCTTTATCACCTGAAGAAGGCAGAAAACCCCTAAAATTACTAAAAATCGATTTGGTTTCGATCGATAAATATTGATTTTAACAAGTTTTGACAGCTTACACAAACTTATATTAAAAATTTTGGTTTTTACAAACTTTTGAAAACAATAAAATTTCTATTGAAATTGACATTATTTACGCCAATTTCGATTACTTTTGAGTTTTGATACATTAAACTAAACACTGTTATTTTAAAATGTAATTTAGTGTTTAAAGACATTCGAAAACCCCTAAAATTAATGAAAATCGATTTGTTTTCGATCAAAAACAATTGATTTCAACAAGTTTCGACACCTTACACAAAATTATATTAAAAAAATTGTTTTTCACAAACTTATGAATACATAGAAAATGTACTAGCTGGAGATGCCATTTTACGCCATCTCCCATATTTTTCATAAAGGAAACAACGTTAAAAAAGTAATTTAATTTTTTTAAAAACTTTTGAAAAACACTTAAATTATTGAAAATCGATTTGTTTTCGTTCGAAAACACTTGTTTCTAACAGGTTTCGACAACTTATACACAGTTATTTTTAAGAAAATCTGTTTTTTACAATCTCATGAAAACATTGAAATACACTTGAAATTGACGCATTTAAGCCAATTACAATTACTTTTGAAACCTTCAACATTGCTATTTTGAAATGTAATTTGGTGGTTGAAAACATTCCAAAACCCCTAAAATTATTGATCATACATTTCCGATCGAAAACTATTGATTTAAATAAGTTTTGACATCTTACAAAATAAACAATTACATTTATCAAGTAACACGTGAGCACATGTAAAAACATGAACATGCGCGCGTCCTTCACGGTGTTAAAAAAAAAAAGTAAAATTGGGAAAAAAACGGATATTCATTACAACAATATTTATAAGCCCTTGAAAAGTGGACATAAAAGCACGAAACTTTGGAGTCGGAGAAAATTAAAGTTGTTTGTATAGAAGTAAGTGTAACAAGCGTGTGTGATAGATGTGACATATGTTTATGCTTCTTGTGTGTGAGCAAATTCAAAAGTCAACAGAGGACTAAGGGAGGCGAAAGCGACTCAGCGGCAAAGTTCCTAACTACGTGCGACCTACATCTTACCATTCCTGGGTGAAATAGGAAACAGAGTAAATTACGATACACCAAGTTTGTCCAAGGGAAAATATTCACATTTTGGAATTTAAGAGTTATTTACCTTACATCCTGCTACCAGCATCACTTAGATGGAAGATTTGTTCGATGGGCGATGTTTATGTGTTGTATAGCGGTGCTTATTATATTTAGGTCAAACTTGGAGAAATACTTTCATTAGATTTTATTATATAGCAACAAATGTAAAACACTGATTTTTTTTCCAGTAGAAAATATTAATGAATAAATTTTATTCTAAGGTAAAAATCGAAGCTTGGTTTCTTTCTTTTCACCTCCACGAACAAAAAAGAGCATAGCATGATGAAAAAGACGCCGAACTTGACGAAAACAAAAAATTTTATCGTCTAATGTTCATATTATTAAAGAGGAAAGATCAAAGTATTTTGAAATTATTTTTTACATTTTTTAATCGTTCCTAACACGTCCGAAATTTTCGTTAAAAATCTTGTTTTTTTTCAAAAAAAAAAAAAAAAAAAGGACAGATAATCCATCATTTTCAATCATTTTTTTTCCATTTTATAAAAAAGATGAGAATCTCACTTTGACATTCTTTTTTAAAAATCAATTATCATTTTTTCAAAATTTATTTTAATAGAATCAAAATTATAATGTTTATTTAAAATATTTTGAACCAAGCTTAACTTAGCTTCTGCGCCGAAAAAATGTAATTTGAAAATAAAACAAAGCAGGTCATAACCTTTCGCGTCACTTGACAGGTGACGAAAGACATTTTCATGACGTTTAGATAACTTACGGGAGGATAATTCTTTCTACGGATGGAAGGAAGTGAAATTATTTAGATTTAAGTGAACAAATTATTTACCTTGTTACTTTTAAGGAAAACTTTCAGCGCTTTAATTTTTCAATTTTTTTTTTTTGTACTTAGCTTTCATCCTTTCATTTTTACGTTTATGATGCTTTATGGAAAATATATTATAAAGAAATTAAAAAATAAGACTGTTAAGAGTGAGATTAAATTTCATAAGAATTAATTAAGGTACTATAATTATAAGAATATATTATCTAATTAATTTATAGAACCTTTCTTATGAAATTTTATCAGAATTGTACATAAAATACTATAATTTTATGTACATTTATTACATTTGACTGTGTTATTTGTATTCCCATTCATTTTATTATTAATTTTGATATTTCATTTATGGAAAAATGTCATAATTGAGATTAATATAAAAATAAGATCATATAAATTAAAGTTTAGCAGCAGTAGTTAAATTTCATAAGATGATACTGATACTTGTAGGTACCCTTCTCAGTTGAAATTGAAAAATCAAATTAACTTCTCCATACGTGTTTCGCAAAAGTAAAGGCCTTAACAGCGGAGAACAATGCTGAACTCAAATAAAGCAACTTAATTGTATTCTGGTTGGTCTTCTGTACTTTATAATTACCGCCCGATTATAAACACAAAATTACATTTCTTAATTACTGCGGATCTTCTGATTGGTCAAAATGATACAATTTTCAAAGCGCTAGAAAATGATCTCTCTCATAAGGACACTTAGAAAAACCGATGTGGCTTTTAACTAATTTTATAATATTTAAAAAAAAAACTTAATGTAAAAATCTATTATAATTAAAGAAATAACAAATAATTGTATTAAAAAATCAATTTTCATTGAAAAAATTTTTGCTTCCAGAAAATATTGTCCATATTCATAAAAACAACTAAAAACAAATAAATGCATTTGAAATTAAATAGTATCTTTGTTTTATTGAGTTTTGTATGTTACAATTCAGAGCTGTTTTTCAGTTACTGCGGATCCAATTAAAAAAAAAAGAAGCATGATTTGCATTCTTCAAAGCCTTGTGCTTTTTTTTCTATTGTAATCACTAAAACCGATGTGATCGAAAGAGTTTTTCATAAAATTAGTTATGGGGGGTGTTAATAAATATAAAAAAACATATTTCTGCAATGACTTTAATAAAAAAAAAAAAACATATTTATAATAATTTAGATCATCTATGAATAGTTTCTGAAAGTTTCATTAACATCCGACAATTATTTTTATTTTTGCAAGATTTTCCAAATTAATGTTTTGTGTTTTACAAAAAAAAAAAAAAAAAAAAAAAAAAAAAAAGAAAAAGCGCTAAAATTGTCTATGTTATTTTACTAGTTCCGGTTGGTACAAAGAGAAACAAGGTTTTTAATCAAAATTTAGAATGTTCTAAAAAGAAGGAAAAATTTTAAAAGATAATTAAAAATAACTTTGGTATTTTCTCTTCATAATAACATAAGCATTTAGACGATAAAATTTTGTTTTCATAAAGTTTGGCGTCTTTTTTTTTAGCGATTTCGTGGAGTTACATAAAAAAATATTCTCTGTCAATATAATAAAATAATCATTAAAAATAAAAACGGATTACTAATCTATTATTGTTTATTTATTTATTTATTTAAAGTATAAGGTAGAAATTAAACCGTCGTTTTTTTTTCTTGGTACCACAAAATTATTCTGTCAATTTCAATTGTTAGTATCGTAATTTTACAGAATACGTTTTTTTTATAATAATATTGTTTGTTTGCTCCCTTTTTTTTTTTTTTTATAAATTGAATATTGAAATAAAGTTCTAAGATGATTTATTTGAAAAAAGTACCCGACGCTCGGCAAAAAAAGCAATCATTATTTTTCCATAACTGCTTTCCTGTGATGTTTTGCGGATCTATTACGGACAAACATACATACGGACTCGACTACAAAAAATACAAATGGACATATAACATGCCCGAACATTCATTGGTTAATTCCCGACACTACGTTATTATAGACAACGACCAACAAATCGCAGTAATGACCACAATTTTATCATCGCTCTACGACCGACATAGTCAATTTTGTGCACTTTTGAGCGAAACGGATCACAGAAACTTCCTTAAGTCTCCCTGTAAAGCTCGCTCGCTGATTGGTCGAACATGCCAACCAATTAGATCGTTTTCATTTGAAGATTAATTCTTCCGATTTAAAGCTTATTTAATCTACAGTCTGCTTGCTGCTGGTTGGTCTATAATGACGGTCAACGTGAAGAATGGACCATTCTTCCCCAAAGAAAGTGGAGGTGGGCAGTTACCAAGCAGTTGCATGGGCGAGTTACCAAGCTCTATGTAAAGGAGGAGGGCAGTTCGTCTCAGAACTTTTTTTTGCTGACATTCTTTTTACTTTTTCAGACTGCTGTTTTGCCGCCCGACGATCTGTTGGACTTTACGCCTATTTGTTTGAATTTCATTTTTGGACTGCTGTTTTTGCCGCCGGACTAATTTTCTGGATTTTACCCTTTCTGTTTTGAACGTCATTTTTGGTTGAGTTTGTTTTTTATTATCGCTTTTTTTCACGACTGTTTGAAAAGATTTTGATTTTTTTTTCTTTTCTTTTTTCTCCCCTTTTTATTTTTACCCCCTTAATTTTTGCTCTTTTTCTTCTATTTTTTCTTTTGATTTTCATTCTTCTTTATTTTCGCTTTTACATATATCTTCGTTTTCTTTATTTTGTAACCCCTGTCTGTGATTCGCGTTAATTTCTGACCAACTTTAATTTCTCTTTATTTCTTTAATTCTTTCTTTTTAATATCCGTTAAGTGTTTCTCGTGTATTGTTTTTTATTTATTTATTTTTTTCTGTGCCAAATTTCTCCTAATCTTTGTATTGTCTCTTTGCATTGTCTAACTTGTGTATTTATTTGCTTGACTCGATTTCTTAGCGTCAGCCATTTTTTGTTTGTAACTAGCTCCGGCTATTTTTGGAAGTTTCGTGTTTTTTTTTGTTTTCCTTTTTCATTGTCTAGCGTTTTATTGTTTATTTCGTTTTTTGTGCTTTAAATTAATTTGTCTCGCCTTTGGGCGAATTTTGTGCTTTTATTTTTAGTCTGTATTTTTTTAGGTGAACCTTGGTTAAATTGTTGTCCTTTGTCATTTGGTTTTTGTTGTAAAACTTTTTTATTTATCGTTCTTTGTTTTGGATTTAATTTTTGCTGCTTCGCTTTCGAGCGAGTTTTCTGGTTTTTGTTTAACTGCTTTTTTTCCGTTACTAGAGCGAACTTTGCTTATTTATAGGCGGACTTTTTTTTTACCATCTCTCCCCTCCCCTTCCCTTCGCGGTGTACTTTTTAAAAATGGAGAAGAAAAAAAAAGGCTTCGTCCTTTCTTATTAAAAAGAAAAAAACTCTCATCCCTGACCTAAAGAGGTCAGTTAAAAAACATTTATTTTCGATTAAGAACCCCCCAACCCGACAAAGATGATACGGAGGAATATCCAGTGTTACCGGATACTTCTCAAAGTAAGGACTTGGAGATTACCCACAAAAAAAATCTAAAAAAAAGCCTTTAATGGTCACTAAAAATATGGAGGCCAATAATTAAAAAGCATGATGGAGACCAAAAATGGCCATATGAAATTAGTATGGAGGCCAATAGTGCCTCTAATAATGACAAGAATATGGAAAATTCAGAGGCCGAGGAATCACACTCTTGTTGGAAGCCCCTGCCCCTAGTTGTATAATGTTGCGGAGTTCTTGGAGTGAGCTAAGAGTTACGCACAACTTGTCGTAGACGGTGAACTCTTAGAAAACACCCAGGAACTAAGAAAAATGGATAAAAGAATAGTGTCAGTTTTCGTCGTGGACAAGCGTACGCGCAAAATTTGTCGCTCGATGAAAGACAGTGATAAAATCACTGTCCTTGGGGTTCAAGCCCCTTAGAATTGGGGATGTATTGTTACCCACGCCGGAAGATTGCTTTGCGGCTTCTAGCCGAGATTTGATCACAAAAGATCTGATCCTCCGCACGAAGGCCGAAGAAGGACCATAGTCGCAATTTATGAGGTTCCGCCTCAGGTTATCGTGGAAGACGTCGCGGCATGTCTAGCCCAGTTCGGCGAAATACGGGACGCTTCCTTCGATAGCCTGACCGGGGGAGTGGAGTTTTGAGATACTATTAGATCAAGATACCTTCCTCTCCATCCCCAACTGTATGGTAGTAGGGAGATTGTCATTGTGACCGGCCGTAAACTGGTATGCTGGAAGTGTGGAGTGACTGGTCACCTCTCCTTTTCCTGCCCAGAGAAGAAAGCCTCTGGAATTCAATCTCCTGTTGACCAAAATCCTCCTCTGACCAAGTCTTTACCTACCGCCTCGACTGTAATGGGCATGCCAGATTCTGGGACCGGTACGGTTAAACCTCCGGTTGGCCAAACATCTAAGGCCATTTTCCCCAAAGAGCCTTCGCCCGCTGCTAGTGCAGTTGTGGAGAAGGGGAGGGGAATGGCCGGTTGCTTGTAAAGCCCGAGGGAAGCCCCAGACAGCGGGGTCCCTCAGTCAAGGACGAAAGGAAAAGAAAGACGCGGTGCCCCAGCCTCTCAACTGTCGTTACAAGAAAAGCAAAAGAAGTTTGACCCCGGATTTGAGAAATATGAAAAAATCAAGGAACTCAAAAAGAAATTAGACATGCAGAGACAAACTCAACAACAAAACCCTATTCCTTCAACGTCCTCTACCCGGTCCACCCCTTCACCTAAGAAACGACCTTCCTCCCTGGCAACACCATCCAAATCCCTTCCCCTCAGTAGAGATCCCAGCCCTTATAGACATAGATCCTTTTATACCCCTCTCCACACACTCCGTCCTTCCCCCATTAAAAAAAAAGATCCCCCCACGCCCCTCTGCATACTCCCAGTTCTTCCCCTGTGAAAAATGCGGAAATGCCACCACCCAGGAGCTGAAAGACAAGAAAAAGACAAAGAAACAAATCTATCATTTGGGGGAGGATGTTTACCGCATTTCTCCGGCTCAGGCGCATAAAGGAAACGAGATACCTTCTGTCGATAAAGCAGTTTACCGATGTTGAAGTCCTGCAGAATTTCCCTTTGGCTCTTGAGCTAAGAATATTTGGGCTATGCTGGATGAGGCGATCATGTCCTACAAGATGGCCTTATCGATTGCTATAGTCCAGAACCAGCAGCTGAAAACCTTAAAACAATTGTGTGCAGGGAGGGGCCCAGTTTTAGTTCAGCCATCCCTGTATAGAGCCCTAAAATTGACTTTCCCTTGGGATATTGGCGGAATCTCCCAAGACGGCTACATCAAGAATGAGATGGGCCATGGGTCTATGGGAGAAGCTGTTGGTATCCTTACCCCGACGATGTTTAAACCAGTATTACAACCCTAATCTGTTTTCTTGATAGCTCTCTGGTTAGGACAGTTCTATAAATGGTATAAATGTGGGGCAGGTCCGAGTCTCGCAGGATACAGAGACTCTCTTTCGACCTTCAGCGCCTTTGGGTGAATGTTTCTTCAGATATGCCAGAGACCCGGTTTTCTTTTTCATGACCGTGAGGACACTCAACATCTCAACAAACCCTAATCTGTTTTCTTGATAGCTGGGTCCGCGTCTCTCCTTTATTCAGCATGTTTTGATGGTCGTTCGAGGGTCAGCATGTTTTGATGGTCGTTCAAGGGGTGTCTCTGGGCTAGTGAGCAAGTCTTTGAATGCTGCATGTACTCTTGTCTTCGCGGATCCGGCGGGCAAATTTTGCGTGCTGGATGTTACCATAAAGGATAAGGTTCTACGTCTCATTAGGGTTTATGCGCCCAATAACAATTCTGAGCGGCCTGCTTTGTTTCGGCAGATCGGGCCGTACTTGACGACATCTCGTCGGGTAGTTTTAGCGGGGGATTGGAATGCCGTCCTTGAACCGATATAGATCCTATAGGGCACAATTCGGGTACTAAAAAACCGGGACGTGAAACCATTTTGGGACTTTATCGATGACTTTGATCTTGTCGACAAGTACCGGAATGAGCAACCTGAACTTGGACAAATAGTGGCAACTCGGCTCTTGGGACGCTTGCTAGCTACCTCGACCGAGTTTTAGTTAGGAGAGTCGATGTAGACCTCTTAGGATGTCCAAGCTTCAATTACATAGTTTATACGGATCATAGGCTTGTCCGGGTCCGTGTAAACTTAGATAAGCTTAAGGTTACGTTGGCTGGGTACTGGAAATTAAACTGTTCAATATTTGGTGAGCAGGATTTCCGGGACCAGCTGCAACTAATGATACAGAGGGAATTTACGGGGGCGGTTGTTGGGAACGCCTGGTTGGATAAATTAAAATCCAAAATTATAACGTTTGCTGCCGATTTTAGTCGTCGACTCAATCTAGATAGATTAGCGGCGCAAACGGCTTTAGAACAAAAAGTCGATCGGGCAGTGAAATCCCGTGATAGTGGGGAAATAGTCTTAGCAAAGGCAGAGTTGTCCTTGCTTATCAAGAAGGATCAAGCTTTTAGTTAAGGCTAGGTTAAAAAGAATGTCCTCTGAGGCGACGAAAATGGCCGCTGAATTGCGCGCAGAGGAAAATCGGAGCGCATCTCGGCGACATATCGTTTGTGACTACAAACGCGGGCACGTGCGAGGCCTTTCGGGATTACTTTCAGGAACTTTTCACCAGGGAGCCCGGTCTGAGCCCTGCTCGGTTCGACGCCTATTTAGCCGACTTTCCTGCCTCGAAGGCAGCTGAAGCGGCTGGGTGCGAGGATCCCATCACAGAATCGGAAATCTGGGAAGCGCTGAAACAGGTTGGCCTGGATAAATCTCCGGGACTAGATGGTCTTCCCTACGAAGTTTACTTAAGGCAGTCGCCCGTTTTTTTTCCTTTGCTGGAACTGATATTCAACAACTGGTTGAAGCAGGGGTCTATACCCCAACGCTTCACCAGGTGTGTGATCAAGTTTCTCCGTAAGGACAAGAACGGGGGGATGGGTTAAATAACTTTCGCACTTTGACTATGTTAAACACAGAGTTAAAGATTTTGGCGAAGATCTTAGCCAACCGTTTGCAGCTTGTCCTGTCTAGTCTGATTGGCTCCGACTAGACTTGTGCTGTGAAGGGCGGGACTATTCAGGATAAACTGCATATGGTACGCTTGATCTGAGAACAAGTCGACAGTGAAGCCGCGCTGATCAATTTAGATCAGTCCGAAGCCTTCGATAGGGTTGACCATCGTTTTCTGGAGGCTGTCCTTTCTGCGGCTGGTTTCGGACCTGACTTTAGCTCCTGGATTCGACTTTTGTATGCGACCTCCGGTGCGCTGGTGGAGGTAAATGGGGTAAGATCGGAGCCTTTCGTATTGTCTCGTTCCATTCGTCAAGGTTTTCTGCTTTCGCCTTTGCTTTACGTTTTTGCGTTGGAACCATTCCTTCGCAAGTTAAAAATCCGGGCGATTTCCTGCCTGGGGCTACCACCTCAGCCAGGTATTCTGCCTATGCTGATGGTGTTTCAGTTCTTGTGTCGAGCAGAGACGAGATTGACGAAGTCAGCAAAGAGATCAGTGGTTATGAGTTGGTGACAGGGGCCAAGATCAACAGAGATAAGTCTGTTGGATGGAAAAGTTTCTCTTCCCGGACCTTTCATCTGGACGGATGGGCCGGTCAAGATACTCGGCGTCTGGTTCGGTCCTGATCTCCAGTTGGAAATGAATTGGTTGGAGATACAAGGGAAGGCCGTGATCGCGGTTAATCTGTTGCCTCGGAGGAGGCTTTCCTTGAAGCGGGGAAAGTATGTGTTTCACTCATCTACCCGATTCTCCTTTAACGACTCTCTGTACTTCCGTATGTACTAGTAAGGCTTTTAATTTCATTTGTTGAAGGCATTTTTTGTTCTTTTCTTGTGGAGCATCAACTTAAAGTCAAGATTATCTCGAGGAGATCTGCTTACTTCATCCCTCTGAGGGGCGGTCTGGTATATGCCCTAAAAGCATTGAGATTCGTCATTTTGATGCGGTTCGCATCAGGATATTTTTTCCTGGATTTAGGCTAGAAGTAGGTTTTTGATTCTTTATTTTTTCTTTTCTTTTCGAGTAAATTTAGCTAGGGTGTGTTTTTCTCATTGACCCCTTTTATTTCTGTCCCTTTTTTCTTTAGTTTAACTCTCCATCTCCTCCCATAGTTAGGTGGTCAGTGACATCAGTTCTCTGGTGGATGCGGGGCGACATTCTTTTCGCGTGTATATTTTTCGCATTTGTTGTGTCTGAATGAGTGCATGTCTGTGTGAGTGCTTGGGATGGATGAATGTTTTCCTATATCCTTATAGTCCCGCATCGATTTCGTCCAGTTAACTGATTTTTCTGCCACATTTAAGGTTTGTGGGTTTTTTTTTTATTACTAACATGATTTAGTTTAGTTTCTTGTAAATAGTTTATAACCATATTGTATATACATCATTGGGGTGTTTTTAGCTTGTTGTTTTTTATTCCCCTCCCCTCACAGACAACGATTTGTACATATGGGGACTATTTAGGATTTTCATTGAGAAAATGAGGTATTTTGGTGGATGTAGTAAGAAAGGTAAGTATGAATGTGTTGTTTTGGTGCTAGGATTATTGTTTTGTATGATTGGGTCAGTGGTTGTGGCTAAGTTATAAATTAAGACAAATGATGACCGTCCTTTTCCCCATCCCCTTTTTCGGCCTTGTGCCACATTTATTGTATTGTTTACAGTAATAAATATTGTTCGTCTCAGAAGTGGAGACTGTGCCCGTCGCTTCGACAGTAGGAGAGAGACGAAATTTTTTTATTTTTTTTTATTTTTTGTTACACATTTCAACACATTCATCTCATTAGTGAAAAATTCAACTGCCAAACGAATCCACGGCAGTTGAAATCATGCGCCAACTTTCTCACTTGCACACACTACTCACATGCTGAACATACTTTGTACACACTCACATAAACTCTTCTTACACAATAATATCTTTCAAGAACAATCATTACATGAGACTCTCATGAACATTCTTCCAGTGAACTTTGGAACATTAAAATAACAGTTAAAGAGAGACAACGCTTGGTTAATTCAACCTTTTCTTACTTAAATGCATGCTTTCCTTCACGTCGTTGTTTGATATTGTACATCTTGTTAAATACATATTTTATGTGTAACAATGTCTTTTGATTATCCTTTTCTGCGTTAGCCCTGTTTCCTAATTTAAAGTTAAATATTTAATTGGTGCGCCCGACGTGATTAGGAAGAGCCCGACGCGATTAGGAAAACCACATTTGATTGGTATTCATTGGTAACCACGCCGTTCTAAGAGGAGTCCATTATTCAAACAAGGCACCAATATTTCACTGTGTTACCCCATTTTGAAACACAAAATTTCGCCAGTGAACCTAGCAAGAGAATTGTGAGAAACATACCGAAATCAGTATATCAACTTGGCGCGCAAAGACTTTTCGTCACCACGTGCGAATATTCACCCAAAACAACATGGCAGTCCCAAACAGTGACGTCGCTGTAGTGCTGGTCAATCTTCCCAATAAACGTTCACGTTTGGTTCTTGCAACTGAGCGCAATATTTCAGGCCAAGAGAATCCAGTCACAGACTGCTCGTTTCGCTTATGTAGTCAGGAAACTACCTCCCGACATCGCATCAGAGGTATCCGATTTATTAGATAATGTCACAACAGAGAACCCATTCGACGTTCTGAAAGAAGCCATTATATACAGGACCGCAAAGTCAGAGGAACGACGAATTAACGACCTGTTTAACACACTTCAACTTGACCAGAACAAACCAACCCAACTTCTTCGGGATGAAAAGCCTTCTGAGACCTTGATACAGTCAGAGACCTTGATACAGAAACTCTGGCTAGACAAGCTTCCAACCCACACCGTGCAGATTTTGGCAACGCTTCCTGAGGACTTGGACCTACTACGGGTGGCTGAAATAGCAGATAGAATCGTACAGGCAAGGACCCATATTTCCTCGGCGGACAGCACACCCCGTGACGATACGCTAAAGAAAATGCAGCAGCAGATCGTCAAATTGTCCATGCAACTGGAGCGTGCGTTCGCGTCCAACATACAACGCATACAAATCTCGACACCATAGCAGATCTAATTTGAGGACCAGGAGTAAACCAAACACTGGTATTTGCTGGTACCACCAGAAGTTTGGACAAGACATTGTGCAATGATCAACCAACATCTACTCCGAAAAAACAAAAGGGGAAAAGGCATGAAAACGGCCCTGTTGGGGAAATCGAAAAGTCTTTTTAACAAGAAAACAGGCGAGTTATTTTTGGTGGACACTGGAGCCCAGGTCAGTGTAGTCCCACCCAGAGCTTACACCACAACGAGCGAATCATCATATACCCTGCGTGCAGCAAACGATACGAAGATCGAGACATATGACCACATTTCTCTCACACTCAACATCGGATTAAGAAGATCGGTCCTGTAAATGTTCACCGTCGCACAGGTGAAAATTCCTATCCTCGAGGTCGAATTCTTAGCCCACGACAAGCTCGCCGTGGACATGTCTACCCACACCCTAAATGACCAGACGAACGCTAACGCTTACAGGCATGACTTCCACATATATATCCACTAAAATTTGTGCCTCACTTCTTGAAAACAATCCGCTACAGCACGTCTTAGATAAATTCCATGCGCTTACAACACCTTTCACTTACATCTTTTACTTATACAGAGTCCGTCAAACACAACACTACACATCGTATTCAGACATCCGGACCTCCTGTTTTCTCATTCCCACGTAGATTAAGCCCGGATTAATACAAACTAGCGACAAACTGGACAAGCTAAGACCATTTTTGGACCAGTGGCCCTTTGAGTGGAAACACTCGGGTCTCCCACGTTAAACGACCTTGTGTCACATCCTGACCCTGTGGGAGTCAAGTAAATACCATTCGCCCGACGCCTTTCGCTGGGATTTTTGACAAATATTGGATTGTTTCTTGGCCTATGTCTGAGATTCGATCAAGGCTTCGACTAGCTTATACTTGGCTCCGGCCTGGACCTCCTAGCACAAGTCATGACCAGCGTTGACTATGCTCTGACCAGCTTGGACAACAGAAATGTGGCACAAGGCCGAAATAGGGGAATGGGGAGAGGATGGTCTTCTTCTGTCTTAGTTTAAACTTAGCTAGCCGCAGACACTGACCCAATCGTACGAATAATATTCCTTCCCCCAAAACGACGCATTTATACGTACCTTTCAAACTACAAACACCATAATACCTCATCGTCTCTATGAAAAAATTAACTAAACCCCATATATACAATACAATGTCTGTGAGGGGAGGGAAATATAACAATAATTCTAAAAATTAACCCCAATGTTTATTTACAATATGAGCACAATCTATTTACATGAAACTAAGGAAAATATTATTAGTAATAAAACCCCCCACAATCACCTACTGTGGCAGAAATCCCATTTCTCTGGCCGAAATCAATGCGGGACTCTAATAGAATAAATGATTCATTCATCTCACGTACTCACACTAACACGCACTCATACGAAAACACTCACACGAAACGAAAGGCGTCCTGCATCCACCGGAGAACTGAAATCACTGACCACCTAAAGAGGGAGGGGATGGGAAATTAAACTTAAGAAAAAAATAGGGACAAAAATAAAAGGGACCAATGAGCATACATACCCTAGCTAAGTTAATTAAATAAAAAAAAAGAAACTAAAACGTCAACAAACGAACCTAAACTAACCTAGTTTCTGGATGGGTTGCACTAGTTCAACCCAGGAAAAGCAATATCCTAATGCCTAAACGGCATCAAAATGCCACTCAAGGTCAGCCCTTTTCCCACGACACAAACGCGCAAGATGCACCCACCTTTTGCTGAATTCTGATGAAGGAGCCGCTGCCTTTCCGTCCCTAATCTTGACTTTAAGCTGATGCTTAAAGTACAAGATCAGTTGGGAAGAGGTAAACTTCTCACCTCCATAGAATCCCTTCTGTCGCGTCGTCCAAATCACGACTCTCATAACTCCTAGCAAGCAGTGGAACACATATTGTTCAGCCTTCGTCATCGGCGGTGCCACATTGCTACAAACGGAAGAGGATTGAAGGACAAACGGCTTTCCACGCAGCATGCGAACCATGAGGCCTTCAACGAACTTGCACAACGGCACTACCGCCCTGCACTGAAAAAAAGCGTGACACAGGGTCTCGACCTCTCCACTACAGCGACGGCAGTTTGGAGAATTTTCCAAGCCAGCTGAACAAAGTCTTTTGGCGACCCAGAGGGCCCCACGAATCATCAGCCAGGTGAGTGATGCCTCATCGTTAGTGAGACATTTCAACCCGGGCGCCCAAGGCCATATTGAGCGAGCCTGCCGCCTCGTAAGACCGAGACTGTCAATCAGATTATCATGAACGGACCCCCTGACTAACACTTGATATAATGCCCGAAGAGACAACGCCTGGACGTTGGAGAGGCCATCCGACGCCCTTAAGAGGCGCTTCAGAGCAAGACGACATTCGCGATAGAAGGAGCATTCGGCTCGGGGTAAACGGCGGGCCTCTTCCTCGCACGAGTGCACACTTCTCAGGGATGGGAAGTTCTTACGGGCGTCTTCCTTCCAGAAGGCGCCCTCCTCATCCGGTTCGCGACACATTCGATCTAGAAATCTAATGCGAAGCATATGTTGACGAATCTCAATGCTTGGCATGCCCATACCGCCTTCAGAAGGATGAAGGCAACCGAGTGATTCTGGCGGCCTTGACTCTTCACAAGAAAGAGAACAAGAGCCTCACTAACGTTAGCAAAGTGCCATACGGAAGTGGAAGCACCGAGAGTCGGTAAAGGAGAATCGGGTAGATGTTTGAAACACAAACTTCCGCCTTGGGACCCCTTTAAGGAAAGATTCCTCCGAGACCACAAATTAATTGCGATCTCGGCCTTCCTCGGACCTCCGACCAATTCATTTCCAACTGGAGATCAGGACCGAACCCGACGCCAAGAATCTTGAGCGGCCCATCCGTCCAGTGGAAAGGTCCGGGAAGAGAAACTCCCTTCCACGCACCCAACCGCAAGCCAACAGACTTATCGCGGTTGATCTTGGCCCCTGTCACCATCTCATAACAACTGATTTCTTTGCTGACTTCGTCAATCTCGGCTCTGCTCGACACAAGAGCCGAAACGTCGTCAGCATAGGCAGAATACCTGGCCGATGTGCTACCACCGGGCAGAGTAATTCCGCGTAGGACCGGATTCGCCTTTAACTTGCGAAGGAAAGGTTCCAACGCAAGAACGTAAAGCAACGGCGACAACGGACAACCTTGACGAATGGAGCGAGACAATACGAAAGGCTCCGATCGTACCCCATTCACTTCCACCAGCGCACCGGGAGTCGCATACAGAAGTCGGATCCAGGTGCGAAAGTACGGCCCGAAACCGGCCGCCGAAAGAACAGCCTCCAGAAACCGATGGTCAACCCTATCGAAGGCCTTGGACTGATCTAAATTGATCAGCGCGGCTTAACTGTCGACTTGCTCAATGATCAGGCGTACCATATGAAGATTGTCCTGAATCGTCCTACCCTTCACAGCACAAGTCTGTTCCGAGCCAATCAGACGAGACAGGACAACCTGCAAACGGTTAGCCAAGACCTTAGCCAAAATCTTTAACTCTGTGTTTAACATAGTTAAAGGGCGAAAGTTACCTAACCCATCCCCACCGTTTTTGTCCTTGCGTAACAACTTGATCACGCCCCTGGTGAAGCGTTGGGGTATAGACCCCTGCTTCATCCAGTTGCCAAAAAAATCAGTGCCAGCAGCGGAACAAAGACGGGCGACTGCCTCAAGTACACTTCATACGGAAGACCATCTAGCCCCGGAGATTTGTCCAGGCCAACCTGTTTCAACGCTTCCCAGATTTCCGACTCTGAAATGGGACCCTCGCACCTAGCTGCTTCAGCTGCCTCGAGGCAGGGAAAGTCAGCTAAATAGGCGTCGAACTGAGCAGGGCTCAGACCGGGCTCCCTGGTAAAAAAGATCCTGAAAGTAGTCACGAAAAGCCTCACATATGCCCTCGTTTGTAGTCACAGTCCGATTATCCGGCAATGTGACGCACGCAATATGTCGACGTGATGCATTCCGAGCTTCCTCTGCGCGCAATTCAGCGGCCATATTCGTTGCCTCAGGGGACATTCTTTTTAACCTAGCTCTAACTACCAGAGCTTGATCCTTCTTGATAAGCAAGGAGGCCAACTCTGCCTTAGCTAAAGCTATGTCCCCACTAACACGGGATTTGACTGCCCGATCAACCTTCTGCTCTAAAGCCGTTTGCGCCGCTAATCTATCTAGATTGAGCCGACGACTATAATCAGCAGCAAACGTTCTAATTTTGGATTTTAATTTATCCCACCAGGCATTTCCCACAACCGCTCCCGTCAGTTCCCTCTGTATCATTAGTAGCAGCTGGTCCCGGAAATCTTGCTCACCAAATAATGATGAGTTTAATTTCCAGTAACCAGCCATCCTAACCTTAGGTTTATCTAAGTTTACACGGACCCGGACAAGCCTATGATCCGTATAAACTATCTCATGGAAACTTGGACACCCTAAGAGCCCTACATCGACTCTCTTAACTAAGACTCGGTCTAGATAACTAGCCGAGCCGCCACTATTAGTCCAAGTCCACACTACCCCCCGAGGGTGTTCGTTCCGGTACTTATCGACAAGATCAAACCCGTCGATAAAGTCCCGAAACTGTTTAACGCCCCGGTTGTTAGTACCCGAAGATGGCCCTATGCGATCTATATCGGGATCAAGGACGGCATTCCAATCACCCACTAAAACTACCCGCCGTGATGTCGTCAAAAACGGCTCGATCTGCCGAAACAAAGCAGGCCGCTCAGAATGGGCATTGGGCGCATAAACCCCAATGAGACGAAGAGCCTTATCCTTTATGGTAACGTCCAGCACGCAAAGTCTGCCCGCCGGATCCGCGAAGACAAGGACACACGCAGCCTTCAAAGACTTGCTTACCAGCCAAGAGACACCTCTCGAACGTCCATCAAAACAGGCTGAATAGAGGGAGAACCCCCTAGACAGTATGTTCTCA